CCAGACCCTCATCCTATAAGGAGTTAGAAATAAATCTTCACGTAGGTAAAATAAAAGTAATTTATTCTGAAGCAGTGCTATACATCAATGTCAATACAGACTTTGGTTTAAATGGTGATCATGTGATAGGGCCCAATATGATTGGAAATAAGAGAAATAATTATCTTAACTGATGAACTACCAGTCATTACAATTCAATTCATATTTCCCTTTGACTTGTCTGGCAATTGCCAGAAGTGATACAGTTTCATAGTTGGTAGGGTTGGAAGGGACCTGAGCGGATCATCAAGTCCGACCCCCTGCCATGGGCAGGAAAGAATGCTGGGGTCAAACAACCCCGGCTAGGTGATTGTCTAGCCTCCTTTTGAAGACCCCCCGCTTGGAAGTTGGTTCCAGATCCTAGCTGCCCTGACTGTGAAGTAGTGCTTCCTGATGTCTAGCTTGAACCTACTCAGTCAATTTATGGCCGTTATTCCTAGTTACTCTGGGTAGTGCTCAGGAGAACAGGGTCTCTCCCATCCCCTGTTGTTCCCCCTTGGTCAGTTTGTAGGTGGCCACCAGATCCCCTCTCAGCCTTCTTTTGTGGAGGCTGAATAAGTTCAGGTCCCATAGTCTCCCCTCATAGGGCCTGCACTGCTTCCCCCTGATCATGTGAGTGGCCCTCCTCTGGACCCTCTCGGTGCTGTCCACATCCCTCCTGAAGTGTGGTGCCCAGAACTGGATGCAGTATTCCAACTGCAGCCTGACTAGTGTTGCATAGAGGGGGAGGATCACCTCCTTGGACCTGCTTGTGATGCATCTGTGGATGCATGACAAGGTGAGGTTGGGCCTACTGACTGCGTCCTCATGTTGGCAGCCCACGTTCATCTTGGAATTGATAATGACTCCAAGATCCTCTTCTGCCTTAGTGCTGATGAGATGGGAGTTCCCCAGCCTGGAGGTATGCTGCTGGTTCTTCCTCCCCAGGTGCAGTGCCTTGCACTTGTCAGTATTGAATCCCATCCTATTCTCATCCATCCACCCTTGTAACCTGTCCAGGTTTAGTTGTAGCCTGTCCCTCCCTTCTAACATGCCCACTTCTCCCCACATCTTAGTGTCATCCGCAAACTCGAACAAGGATGCTTTTCACCCCCTTGTCCAAGTCACTGATGAAGATGTTGAAAAGTGCAGGCCTGAGGACTGAGCCATGGGAAACCCCACTACCCACATCCCTCCAGGTCAAAAATGATCCATCCACCACCAACCATGCTGCTGGTAATCATAGCACCTGTGTGAATCATGGCTTTCTTAATAGAACTTGGGTTCTGCTTCAGGAACTGTGACCATTATCCAAGCTTTCTTAGTTTAGATTGTAGTCATGGATGCATTCCCCTTGCCTCAAGGCTTTTATTAAAGCGTATCCAAAGAACAACACCAAGTAGAAAAACTGATCACTCCAGAAGTGGATGGACTCCTTCAGGGCTAAGCACCAGCAACTTAAACCAAAATTAAGTCAATGGGAGCATCAGGTAGCTAGCACTTATGCACCAACTACAGACAGTCAAAAAGCCTGAGGCTGAATTGATTCAATCATAGCAGGTTAGTTCAAGCTGTATAGATTGAACCAATAAGCAAGTGAACAAACATTGACTTTTGATTCCAGAAATGCAGCCACATGCCCGGAGTGGCCCAGGACAGGGGGGTTGCTAGAGCATGCCTTCCTGCTTGGCTGGAGCAGGCAGCTTGAGCCAAAGTTAGCCTGCCCACCCTGTGAGGGTTGGTTTGAAGGGGGAGGTGCAAAGCATCCTGGGATGCTGAGTGACTCTGAGTTAACTTGAATCTGGAGCGGGGTCTGGGACACAAGTTCAATAAGTCAATTTAACCTAAATCAGTCAAGTCTGATATTACATCCATCCAGGTTTACCTAACACCACTTTCAAAATGGCTGAAACAGGTTTATGTGCATTGAACTTCTGTTGAGTTACCGATTTGAAACCAGTTTCCAATCACTTATACCAGTTTACGTGCAATTTCTGTCCCTAGCCCAATGATTAGGCCTGTAATGTACCTGATATATACCACTACTACTGCTACTAGGGTGTACCCAGTCCTCCTTGAAGCAGGTATGAGGAGGGGGAAACCTCCTGCCCTTTGCCACTACTGCTGTCCCCAGATGAATTCAAAAGCACCCCATTTCAAAAACAAAACTTATTTATTACAGTGATTACCTCCTTGCACAGGAGCCAGGTAGTAGGGATAGGGCAATGGCTAGGAACTGAGTATGAGCCTGTGCTTATCTAGTTATCTCTTCACACCTCATGGCACCTTTCAAAGGATCTCGTGGCATCCCAGGGTATCTCAGCACCCTGGTTGAGAATCACTGCTGTAATCTTTACTAAGGTAAAATGGCTACCAATTTTAATAGTGCTTTTGACCAAAAAGGTGGGAATCAATATATTTTCCTGCTGCAGAAAAGTTAACTTTTAGGGGGCCCTGACAAAGTTTGAGGTTCAGGTTCCCACTCTTAGCATATTAAAACAGAGCAGAAATGTACTGTGGGGCCACCTGACCACTTGAGGACCTCATGTAGCTGCACAACTTGCACTGGTCTAGTACCACCCTTGGCTCATTGAACCCAGATCCTGGTGTGACTGACTTCAATGGGAAATTGTCTGACCATGTGATGAATTCCTTCTCACCTTCAAGGTTCTGGTTTTGTTACTTCTCTATGTTTCCCCTTGAATTCAGTTTTACCCAGATATCTTCTCCCACTCCCACCTATTTCTCATAATGTGCCTGCTGCTTTGAAGAACCTTGAGCTCCTCCTTCAGCAAAACACCCTTCATCTCCACACTCAGATGTTACCTAAAACATGCTTTCCTTTTTAGCTGTTAATAGCCAGTACACTTTGGAGACCATTGAAGAATTTTCCTCATACTCAGGTTTGCATAGATTATGTGTGTGTTGAGAGGAGAAGGGTTGCTTTCCTCTGTAGCAGTGTGTGTAGTCCTCCTCTTTGGATCCCTCGAGCATATTTTAACAAAACTATCTTCTTGCAGAAGCAGGACATTGCTAGTGCCTAGCTTTAGCAGTAGCAAGTTAAAGGGTGATTTTGTTTTGGCCGTTGTGCCTTGTGTGAGAGCCGTTTTTGAAGGGTTTTTTTAAGAGCAGCTTAGATCAATACTTACTTCTCTAGGATGGCTTAGAGAGTAGTGATCTTACCTTGAGCAAAGGGTTGGACTAGATGGCTCCTCAAGGTCCCATCCAGCCCTACATTTCTACAATTCTTCTCTTGCAACATTGTACCTCACTACTTATGTATTTATTTTATTTATGTGATTTATATGCTGCCCTGCCCAACACAGGCTCAGGGCAGTTTACAGTAAGAGAACAGGACAACTTAAATGGGGAAGTGGAATATCATATTATATATATAAAGAGGCCCTCACTTAAACAGGGTCTCAGCCTAGCTTTGTTTGTTAAATGCCTGCCCAAATAGAAAGGTTGTACAGCACTTGTGAAAGAGCATTTTAACAAAAACTTGCAGTGCTAGCACACTGAGAGTCCTCATTCCCCTCCTTTACTTGTGGCAGATTAGGGTGTTTTTGTTGTGTGTTGTTGAGTAATATGCCTTGAGGCCACGTGACAGGGTTTTAGGAATAGGTTAGACAAAGATTTGTATGGGATGGTTTGGATAGGGATGATCCTGCCCCAAGCAGGTGTTTGGACCGGATGACCTTTGGAGGTCCCTTCCTGCCCCACTTTTCTATGATTCCAAGATGTCCAGGCTCAGCATTAAGCCTTCAGGGAGAGAGAGGTCCAGAGCTAAGGAACAAGTCTGCTTGATGAAAAAACATGGGATGTTGCTCTCAGCAGTTGTTCTTCACCTGCCCAAGAGGAGAATGAACCCCATCAATTATAAGTATCCCAGTCCCCCAAGTCAAGTGCTCTGCCTACCATCATCACCTCTGTCTTGTCTGGATTCAGTTTCAATCTATTCACGTGTAACCAGTTCCCAACTGCAGCCAGGCATGGGAAAAGACTGAGACTGCCAGGGTCAGAAGAGAGGGAGGGGTAGAGCTGGGCATTATCAGCATTAATGGCAGAATCAGCATACTGATGGCACCTCACTCTAAATATCTGCACAACCTCACTCAGCAGCATCATATATACATCCAACAGGAGGAAAGACTAGATGAAGCCCTGGGGGACCCTACAGGAAAGCACTGAGGGGATGATGAGCATTCTCCCATCACCATCCTCTACTCTGGGTCCTCTTTGCTAGGAAAGAGCTGAACCAAATTTAGAGCAATGCTGTAAATGCCTACCAGGTCCTGTAAATGCTTTATCAACACTTCATGGTTGACTGCAAAGGCTGCTGAAAGGTCTAGTAAGATCAGCGGGACACAATTCCCCACCCCCGGATCTATAGCAAAAATCATCAACCAAGGCCAGAGGCAGAATCTCTGGGCTACATCCAAGACAAAATCCAGACTAACAAGAATCCAAGAAACTAATGACATCCAGATAAGCTGTTGGGTAACAAGTCATTCAATGACCTTTCCCAAAAAGGAGTGGCTGGCAACTGTATGGGATCCATAACTGGCTAGGAAGTCAGTGTCAGGTAATTGTTTCTTTAGCAGGGGCTGGACAATTAAAGACTTAAGAACATCTGGCACCTTGCCCTCCCAACAAGAGGCACTGACAACCACTGCCAGCAGTGGCCCCCAGTCTCCTCTGGCTGGTTTTTAGAAGCCAGGATGGGCATGGGTACAGTTCACAACTG